TCCTGCTGACTACCAGCGACAGCTCTCCTCTCCTGCCACCCATAGTTGGGCGCCCGTCTCACCCCAGGCATCACAGAGTGATGCTAGGCACCTGACTCATGGTTTTGTATTTCACTGAAGTCCACACATGGCAAGTTTGAACACTGCACCTCCAAAGTACTCCGCAGATTTAATCCTTCCTCCTTGACAGCTAGAACACTTTACATACGTTGCCTGAAGAAAATAGGACAGGCACCATCACATAATGTTTATTTAGTTTAATGTTTATGTTCTCTATTGCATTTTTTCTTGCTTCTCTGCTCTTCTTTACATCATCTCCCCTGTCTTTGCTTCCCAGATTGCTCTGATGGGTGTTTCTGAGAAACTGCCTCTGCCTTCCTCATTATTCAACACCTCCCTTTCTCTGTGCCCTTGAGCCACAAGACCTTTCCACTTTCTCATCTGCCAGACTCTTGCTTTCTATTTTTCCCAATTTTTTCCTCCTATTTCCTCACCTCTTCCCCCTAGCTTCATTCCCTTCCTTTCTAAATCTTCTCTCTGTCCTGTGATTCCAGCTTCTCCTAGGTCTTCCTTTTTCTCCCACATTACTTTAAAATATACACACAAATCTCTCTTCCTCCCTTTTTCTTCTGACCTGAATCAGACTTATTACAGAACCAGTCCCATTTATCATAGTATCTTACTGTAGTCTCTTTGCTGGCATGCGTTTTCCCTTCCTTGTAAAAGGTTTGAAGAGGATCCCCTCTCTTTAAAACAGGCTCTTCAAACTCTTTCATTATGCCTGCAGGCATCTCCAAGCACAGCTTGTACTTACTAAACTGCCTGGGTCAGGGAGTGCCTTTTTGTTTGCTCCGAGCACCGCACCTACTCTGCATAGGAAGGTCCTCGTCCAAGGGTTAGTAGGCACCGATATATGCACAAAGCGTGGTAGCTAACTATGCTTCCTGGCAAAATCCATGCCTCCCCCCTTCCTTCTCAGCCTGGCAGTATCTGCTGTCCCAACTCCTCCACTGCTCATCACTGCCAGCACTTCCCCTCTGGGAAGGGAAATACCCACAGTTCGCAGGGTTAATCACCACAGCAGGGACTTTGTGAAGAGGAAAGAATTTGTGTGGACGAGCGTTAACTTATCAAAAGCGAGACTGCATTTAACGGAGCGGTGCCTTTTCACTTAGCCCACCACGGGCCGTCGGCAGGGGCAGAGCAGAGCGCGCCACGGCACTGCACAAGCGCACAGCAGCATCCGCGTGCTGCTGCGGGCGGCTCTCCCCGCAGTCTCGCAGGTCCCGCTTTCCCGGGTGGAAGCACAGGCCAAGCGGGTGCGCTCAAGGGAGGAAGGTGATTCACAGGTTCAGCTCTTGGAGAACAGTGAGACTGTTAGGCACGGCCACAAAATAAAAGTGTACACATCTACATGATAAAAAAGTTCCAAAGAATTTAATGTAGATATTATTTATACATACACTTTATAAGTAGGAATATGGCAGACAGTTGAATTAGTACATAAAGTTTTATTTAAAGTTTTCCCCCTACAAGCAAGCCTCATTTACACAGTCTAATACTGTACAAAATTTACATTCTTTGTGTGACTTGTTCAGTTAGCACTTTCCTTGGTCATGCCTTCCTGAAAGATAGAAAGATTTACATACAGTCCTCATAAATCTTTAAATTACCTTGGTAAAAAAAGAACCACTTAAAAGGACAACAAATATCCTTTACAAATGGTACATTTTAGTAGAGACAGGTGACAATCAGTGTTCAATGGCAGACCTTATCCTGATCTTAAGTGTCTTTCAAGGTTTCCTCATTTAGTACCTTAACAGTTTCCTTTTTATATATATTTATATTTATATACTTTCAACAGGAAAGGAAAAAAAAGTCATGATTGCACCAAATATATTTTACAAGGGATCCCTTGGATCTGAACAATATAAATAAATACAAAACCAACTAAGATTGCACTATATAGTAGAAATGGACTGAGATTTCAGGATATACACTCCACCTTTATGAGTTCCTTAGTGACGCTCACTGGAAAACTCCCCAATGGCACATTCACATATTAGCATCTTCAGATAATTATTTTGTTTAAACAATTTTTTTCCAGGCGTGCAGCTACCTCATCAATTGGTTTATTGCATTTGTGTGGTATCAGTCTTTACTGCATTACTCCAATTTTACAATTGTGTAATTCTGCTGGAGGCAAGGGAGTTGCACTGCAATAAAACTGGACTGATGCCAGAGAGAAACAGTCCCATGGTATTTGCTCTCCATTATTTATATTGCTCTCAAGCTTCAATATATAGCGTAATTTCTGAGTACATTCATCCTCTTCCTATTTTGCAAAGCAAACAATGAGTTCTATTCCTCCCATCTGTAGCCTCTGCAGCAGAAACCAACCTACAGTAGTTGCCGGCTTCTTGCTTAATGCACTGGCATTAAGTCCTATCATGAAAGATATGCACAGGTTTGGAAATGCAGGATGAGTCTTCTTTGCCTTTTATCTGATGCAGCCGGTTACAATTATGCAAATTAAAGGCCAGATTCTTAGCTGACAAAAACCAGAGTACACCCATTGGCTTCACAATGTCAATTTATATCAGTGAAGAAGACAGCCCTGAGGGTAATGGATGCAAAGCACCAGTAAACCACGATGGAAGAATTTTACGTATACTGTGCTGAGGTGTAGATTTCTGTTAACCGCAAAGTGGTGAACAATCAGGCTCAGATTTTGTCTTTGCTTCTGCAAAGCCAGGACAGAAAGACATAAGCTTACAACATGGATAGCTTGATTTGTGTAAGCAAGTATGTGTTCGTAAAGTGAGTCCTAAATGCTACTGGTCCTATGTGGCAGCATTCTGAACTTGCTTTGCAATGTGTAAACCATTACACAAGCTATAAGGCAGTGTAAGTCTAGCTTCGCATTACTTTGGATCAATAGTAAAAATCTTTTAGAATATGTTTTAAGACCAGTCACTCATGGGATCTTAACTACTTTCCAGTGTCTCTTCAATATTGTACATAATGCTTTAAGAGTCCAAAGTAATACACTTAAATTCAGTGTTCTTGTCTTTGGAAGCAAATAGCAGCTATGTTCATATCTAACAGACTGGTGAAAATAAACATGGCTTCTGGTGCTTTGTTAAGTGGTCACGGAAATAACTTCCTTCACAAACCCAGAATTTAAGGTTTAGGAGAAAAATTCTGTTATGCTAATTTAAAAATAGTCACTCCATGTGATTTCAGTGAAGTGACTCTGAATGTACACCAGTGTGATTAGGAGAAGGATTTGATCCTAATCCCTGAACTGCTACTGCAAGAAGTGCTCTGTAAAGCATGGCTTTCATTGTAGTCTGCTTTCTGCTGCACTTACACGGGGGGACTTTGAAGGCAGAGTGTATTAGAAGCCAAGCTGTGCAAAAACTGAATGATATTTCTTTACCTTTAATGATCTTCTGATGCTGTGTTGCTTGCAGAGCATGTGAAGTAGCTGTAGGTTAGGATTACAGAGGAGGAGACAATTCTGCAATGCAGTGTGAGCTTTTCACTATCTGAATTCTGAAGCATTCATGAAAACAACATCCTCGTGACTTCAACACAGATCACATGCAGGTAGATACAATGCACAATACCGATCTTGTCTCTTCAGGCTGTATTTGAACATTTAGCCTTCTTTTTTTTTTTTTTTAAGTTAAATTTGATGTGAGGAATATCTCTGCAGCAGGAAAAAGTTAAAATCAGTCTGAAATGGCAGTCTGTCAGCATGTAATGTTCGGTGTGTTTTAGCTACTTGCTTCATAAGACACCGGCATCTATCTGAGATGGGACAACACTTTGTTTTTGTCTTCTTTTAGTTTGCTCCTAAAGTATAAATATGCAGTAAGGGGTCAATTATGGTAGATTTGTTTTAACAGGAAGTCTGTTCTATTAAAATATTTACGTCACCCGTCATCATTTTCCCAAATGCAATCAGTGTTCATGTCAGTGCTCCCTGACTATCATTTGTTGTACGGTACGCAGGCTGGCAGTATGACAGTTGAGCAAGCAGGGCCTGCGAGAGGCTCAGCAACGTCTCCTTCTAGTTCTGTCCAAGTCCCTTTCTCAGGACTATAGCAAATTGTAGAAGATTTGTAGGCCCCCTGCAACAGAGAACAAAAATTCATATGGAAGTACGGCATAAGTAAAATCCAAGTGACACATCAGCTTTAAAGATGAAAAGTCATTTTTTTCAAAAGCAACTGATGGTTTTGGGCCCTAGCTTAAGGATTTAGAGAGACTCAGTTTTCACACGGGCTGAGTGCCCAGCCTTTGCAAATGAGCCTTCTTTACAAGATTCTTATAAGCAGAGCTACAGGCCTTCAGCCTCACTGATCACTCTTGCCAATGCATCTGATTTTTGTATTACCATCTATCCGTGAGTACACACTGAAAACAAGTTACCAAAAGAGAAGAGCACAAATCTGAAAAAATACCACACATTCTCCACAAGTTGAAAACAGGTAGTTCATCCCTCTCTTCCTCTTAGGCTCACCTGTGTAAGGTACACACTGGCCACAAGAGCTCAGAGGAACAGATGGGTCATTGGCACACAGCAGGTACTTACCATACTCCAGCTGTAGCCTCCTACAAGGTAAATACTGTCATCCAGGACCGCACAGCCAGGGCCACTGCGGCCCTCCAAAATAGGAGTCTGAAGAATATTCCACTGGTCGCCTTTTGGATCATAACATTCCACAAGCATGACATCAAGATGGGAGAAACCTGGATAAAAAGATGGAGAAAAAGAGAACATGCATTATAACCATACCAATTTATTATTTGTTACATTGTTAAATGTATTAATGTATAATTACAATTACATCATTACAATTATAACATTACCGTTAAGCTTTTTCTTAGAAAATATTGCCATATACGTTTAAGCCATCACCTGTAATGGTAATCGTTATTTCAGTTCAAGTAAATCTGTTTAAAGTGTTTACCATTAGTTCTATAGGTCTTCTACAAATCAGAAGTACAAGAGCACACACAACCTGAACAGATCAGAAAGTAACGCTTAGTAACAACCTAATAATGATAAAAGCAGATTCAAGCAATATTCCCCCTTACCTATCCATGCTAATGCCAGCTTGAACATGTAGGGGAAGACTGGTCTGGCAGCCTTTCTTGAAGGACAGCAGATCTAACCTATTCAGAAATCACCAGCTTAAATCTCATCCAGAAACCAATGACTGACAAGTCAAGGTAGAGCTAAGACAACTGATGCCACACGGTTTCAGAGGGACACGGTGCTTAGCAAGAGAGCTGTGACATTCAGGGCCAGTTTCAATCTTCAAGCTGATTTAAGGGGTAACCTAAGCAGGCAGGTATGATGTGACAAAAGTCTTCAGACAAGGCGACAGAAAAAGTAACCCAAAGAATGGCTGTTCTGTCCTCCCCGACTGAGGTGGGAGAACGGCTCCAAGCAGCTGCTGCTTAGCAATCACCAAAGGGCAGATGGGTCTCCAGCTGTGATGTTTAATAACAAATAGATGCGTTGACCACAGTAGTAGAACCCAGGAGTCCTGGTCCCTGCTCTAATATTTAGACACTTCTCCATCTCAAGCGACTTTGTCAAAGCACTGCAGTAAAATTATGACTTCTTTAATACACCAGGATGCTTTACTCAACATTACTGTCTTCTCCATCAAGGGAAGATGGGAAAGAAGAGATAAGTTTGATTTTCTGGAAAAAGGCATTTGGTGATATTGGTACTTCCCAGTGATGCTGCTTCTAAGATCATTTATGTCAAGAACGAATAGTTGTGATGAAACAATTTTGCATCGCTTTTAAGTTTTCAAGGGGCTATAGAGAGGCCACTGCTGTCTACCCAGAATCTGTCAGAAAGCTCCCTAATAAACTGCAGTACACCCATGATCACTGGTGAAGAGGTGAATGCACTGCTGACACTAATGTAAAGAACCAGCTTCACAAGGGACTGCTTTGCCATTGACCTATCAGAGCACCTTGCTCTTCCCAACCAAGGGAGAATTTGTTATGTTTTATCCACGCTTCAGTCCTCTCCCTCTTCTGTTTGCTTGCAGTTCCTTTCTTTGTTCCGCTTCACAGAAGAAACCAAAGTTTTCCAAAATCCTCTTCCTCCAGACAACAGAAGGCTTTCCAGAAGCCTAGACATTAAATACATCTCACAACAGCAAGCAGTTCATACATAATACAGGCATCTAAGGCAAGGACTGTGGAGGCAAAAATACAATGCTTATCAGAAGTTCCTCCTCTCCCAGGGGATGCTAGGTGAAACTGGGTGAAGAAGGAAGGAGAAGGCAGGGTGGAAGCAATTCAAGCCCGGGCAGACCAAAGCCGGGGCTGTGGCTAGACCGAGGGCTGTGACATCTTAATCTTGTTAGTCTAGTAGGAGAAAAATCCAACGCTGCGGACCTCTGCAAGAGGCTGGATTGGGAAGCCAACCTCTATAAAATTTGCAGGTGTGTTTGTGCAGGCACCTTTTACCTCATCCTTCCTTTCACGGCTAATCCGGAACACCCACCGCAGCTTGGGCTGGGGGTAAGAGGAGGCAAAGCTGCCTGCACCTGGCAGCAAGGGTTTCTGCAGCAGCACTGTTTACCGGGGAAATTTTACATCTAAGACTTTGCCCCCTATATGCACCACAGACACTGCCATTTTAAAAGGCAGCATGTGATTTCGGAGTCTCACTGTGGCCAGGGGGCGAGAGCCATTCAGGTACACGGGCAAGCATTACTGGCAGTTAACATCACTCTTTCTTTTGCATTACTGGCTAATTTTCTCTGTTGCTGTTATGAGGGCTTTTATTGAAACAAGAAAGGAAAGCAAAAAAAAAGCGAGTTTTTCCAGAAAAACGTTGAGTATAAACAGATACGTATTGTCAGGGGACAAAGGAGCAGAAGCTGTGCTTTTTGCCTGAACCGACTGGACTAAGCAGAATCTCTGCAGCAGTAATAGCAATAGCATGTAAGTATTAAGACAAGAATTCCAGCTGTCTAAGCAGTAGTAATTTTAATATGAGAGCTTTTCAAAAGGCAAAAACAAGAGACCTCTAAAAGGAATTAACAAAAAATTGTAATTAACAAGCTACATTTAATGCTAAAAAGAGATCTAAAGGGTCTAGTCCTAATATTTAATGGCTGGTTTTTTCATTAAAATGGGAGCTTGTTTTTGTGTGCTGCTCTGAATAAAGCTCTCTCTAACTGCACATTTTGGAAAATGATTTACAGAGGAAAATATTGCTGGTACTCTCGGGTCAAAGAACAATCTGTTTGTTTCATTGAATTCTTGGTAATGACAAATTGTCCATGCCTTTGAGTAATGGAAGCTCCCATTTTTATTATCTAAAGCATTCATTACTCATATATTTAATGTACTGTTATAATTTTAAAATAATTTGCATAAAATGTTTTCAAAATTGCTGGCTCAAGTGTCCTGTTAAATTGTGTTGCCTGTTTTTTAACATATTTAGCAATGACTGTCTAACAAAAATATTCTTTATCAGGAGACAGGGACACTGAAATGCTTTTTCACTATTAAAAATGTGACCTTTCAAATGGTTTCCTCCAATTGCATACAGTCGATCATTCATTACAGCCAAAGTGTGGATTGCTCGCTTTGTGTTCATGTCCTGTTTTCGGGCCCAGACGTCCATCACAGGGTCATAACAGTATAGCCAGGGGACATACTCTCCATTGTGAACACCTCCTGCAAAGTAAATATACCTTTGCTAATTAATGTAAATAAAGACATTTATTGCTTTGCAGCAGGCATTTAACC